CAATTTGTAAGTCGCTCTGGATAAGAGCGTCTGCTAAATGACGTAAATGTAAATGTAAAACTACACCCCGAAGACAGACAGCGCTGAGCAGGATCATTGAATGCAACAGGCTGCAGCCTTGTTTATCCAGAGTCAACACACAGACTACCAACTCTTTTAAGAAGCAGATTTGGCCGACCATACAATTGTTTTCTTTTCAGTACTCACCCGTTACCATTGGTCATTTCTTCGGCCACCCCCAACATCTTCTTGGCTGCAGGGGTATTTCGTCCCAAGCGGCACTTTCTTTCCAGATGTTTGGAGCTCGAGGGGATGTATTTTATTTTTTCCCACTGGGGTGCCAGTATGAAAATATATGCACTCACTAACTGTAAGTCGCTCTGGATAAGAGCGTCTGCTAAATGACTAAAATGTAAATGTAATGTTTACAAGCGATACTTTCTTAGTAATGGCGAATGAGCCTCGCGTATTTCTTTGTCTGTCGGTGTGTCTGGCTACTGCGTTAAAATGTAATTTAACCGGACTAGACCCGCCCTCTAAACTTCTGATTCTAGTCATCCATGTAGGACCACGACAGCCTACAGTAGACTAGTCTTTACTGTAAATACCAGATGCCTATCAGGACAGCATGTTAAATATAAAACTTAACCTTCAAACCTCATGCACTAGCTAACTGTTATTATATTGCGCTGTGTATTCCCAACACATTTCCTCGCTTAACATGGACGGTTGTTTGCGGAAATCTACCCGAGAAGCACCGATTTCCCACAGTGAAAAATGTGTGATATTTGGCAAACTATTACACAGAAATGTGAGCTATAAAGTCGTATAGCCTACTTCTTGCGTGCTACTGGAGAAAATAACTGGGCGCAGTAGGGCGCTGCTCGAAAATGTTGTAGCCTATTTGATGTTTTAACATTAGGTCAAATTAACAAGACGAGATTCAACAATAAGAAGGTAGAACTTTAAAAATACCTACTATAGCTCAGTGAGCTTAGGTCATGTAATTGGAACATACAGTATATTTCCTTAAAAGGCAATAATTCCCGAATAAGACAAGACGAAAACATCTGGAAGATCTGTCACTGCTGTAGGCTATCCAGACCCCTACATTCTAAAAAGTAAAGGTTCCTGGAGGATCCTTTAGGGGTTCTTCAAATTGAAACTGTGGGGGAACCCCTATAAGTTCTTCGAATAACTATTTAAAAGGGTTCTTCAAAGAACCCCTTTTAATGGATCCTCGAAGAACATTTGGGGGTTGATTTTTGAACTACCCCCCCCCCCTATTATTAGTATTATTAATAATAATACGCTTAACAATAACAACAATAACACAATATTTTAGTTGTCAGTGTTTATTATGATTTTAGTGGCAGAGCAGAATAAAAAAATCGAAATATGAGGAAAAACTCCCAGCAGAGCCCCAAGTCCAATGGGTATATCCTCTGGCATGTTGATGTTAATGTGTTGATGTTCTCCATATCCATAGCCAGAATGATTTTGCAGTGCATGGTGATCGAACAGGTTTTCTGTTATATTCATCAGAGGTGTAGGGAGGGTGATATCTGTGAATCCAAAAAATAGTAGTTATACAGATGATTAACAAAACATGCACACAACAGTATTCATACCTTGGTTACATTGCCAGTGGGTCAGAAGTTTACATACGCTCAATTAGTATTTGGTAGCATTGCCTTTAAAGTGTTTAACTTGGGTCAAACGTTTCAGGTAGCCTTCCACAAGCTTCCCACAATAAGTTGGGTGAATTTTGGCCCATTCCTCCTGACAGAGCTGGTGTAACTGAGTCAGGTTTGTAGGCCTCCTTGCTCGCACACGCCTTTTCAGTTCTGCCCACACATTTTCTATAGGATTGAGGTCAGGGCTTTGTGATGGCCACTCCAATACCTTGACTTTGTTGTCCTTAAGCCATTTTGCCACAACTTTGGAAGTATGCTTGGGGTCATTGTCCATTTGGAAGACCCATTTGCGACCAAGCTTTAACTTCCTGACTGATGTCTTGAGATGTTGCTTCAATATAGCCACATAATTTTCCTTCCTCATGATGCCATCTATTTTGTGAAGTGCACCAGTCCCTCCTGCAGCAAAGCACCCCCACAGCATGATGCTGCCACCCCCGTGCTTCTCGGTTGGGATGGTGTTCTTTGGCTTTCAAGCGTTCCTTTTTCCTCCAAACATAACGGTGGTCATTATGGCAAAACAGTTATATTTTTGTTTCATCAGGCCAGAGGACATTTCTCCAAAAAGTAAGATATTTTTCCCCATGTGCAGTTGCAAACTGTAGTCTGGCTTTTTTATGGCAGTTTTGGAGCAGTGGCTTCTTCCTTGCTGAGCGGCCTTTCAGGTTATGTCGATATAGGACTTGTTTTACTGTGGATATAGATACTTTTGTACCTGTTTCCTCCAGCATCTTCACAAGGTCCTTTGCTGTTGTTCTGGGATTGATTTGCACTTTTCACACCAAAGTACGTTAATCTCTAAGAGACAGAACACGTCTCCTTCCTGAGCGATATGATGGCTACATGGTCCCATGGTGTTTATACTTGCATACTATTGTTTGTACAGATTAACGTGGTACCTTTAGGCGTTTGGAAATTGATTGACATTTTTTTCTGAGTTTTTGGCTGATTTCTTTTGATTTTCCCATGATGTCAAGCAAAGAGGCACTGAGTTGAAGGTAGGCCTTGAAATACATCCACAGGTACACCTCCAATTGACTCAAATGATGTCAATTAGCCTATCAGAAGCTTCTAAAGCCATGACATCATTTTCTGGAATTTTCCAAGCTGTTTAAAGGCACCGTCAACTTAGTGTATGGCAACTTCTGACCCACTGGAATTGTGATACAGTGAATTATAAGTGAAATAATCTGTAAACAATTGTTGGAAAAATGTATTGTATCATGCACAAAGTAGATGTCCTAACCAACTTGCCAAAACTATAGTTTGTTAACAAGAAATGTGTGGAGTGGTTGAAAAATGAGTTTTAATGACTCCAAGTGTATGTAAACTTCCGACTTCAACTGTACCTTGTCCATCATGTAGAGGCCTATGGGATATTAATTGAAGAGGTAAGGGAGGAGGATGGAAAATCTGATCTGCATAACATACCAATTGACATATCTTTGTATGCCTCCTTGTCTGTATACCTACAGACACAAAAGTGAGCAGGACTTCACATTTTTTCTTCTCTCTAAACGTGTGGATTATTGCTCTTTAGGCTCCCCTATTGGTAAATATAACAACTTTTAAAGATATACTGTAACTTCATTAGATTATAACTTTTTCTAAATGACCAAATATTACATCAATTTACCTCAAAATCATTTCATTGAGGTGACTTAAAAAGTTGAGATGAGACATTACATTTTTAGTTGAGCAAGAGTAGTGGCAGGCAGGGAAAGTCTTAAAAAATCTATTTTGTTATTTTATTTGAATTGTCATGTTTATTCACAGTTAAATAATCTCTTAGGAAGAAGGATGGTGGTTAGGCTACTGATTGCAGGGCTCCTTTTTATATAAATTGGTTGATCTAAAATGTACGCTTAAACTTTGACTTATTTGTCCTTTTCTAAAACATGTCTTAACCCAGAGCACTATAGATATCAACTTCAACCAAACTGCGAGGACTGGAAACCCTCACCAGTTTACAACATCAGTAATGATTCCTAACCTTATAGCCTAATAATCTCTTAAAATATTATTTTAATAATTAACAATACTTTCCCAGTTTAAATATAAAATTATTCATTACAAGTACATTCAGTTATTCCCATGTATTACTTGTCCCCATCTGGCCTCATTCATTAATAAGAAGCAGAAGCAGCTGCCTTAGGAATGACACAGAACAATGACATTAGCATATAACCCTGGGTAAGAGATGGGCCAAATCTGAACTGGCACTTCATTCCGAATATAGTGCAATATATGGGAAATAGAGTGCAATTTCAGGCGCAGCCTTGGTCATAGTAAATGAGAGCCTAATGTGACTCCTATACTTCATGTCACAGTTGGTGCTAGTCCACCAAGTCTGTAAATTCAAGTGCAAAGATAGGGATTTACTCATTTACAAACATCTTTCTGATGTGATATGAAGCACTACCATAGGACTACAGAGCAGAGGCTTGTATTTTACCCAATCATTCATATCTAGTACCCTTTCTGCATGTTTGGTTAACTTGGAAAACAAGCAGCCCCACATTGTAATAACATGGTAATTTCACAGCAAGTACATAATAATTACTATACATACACACGGACCAATTACAGACTATGTACCTACATATTACCAGAGCATCCTTTGGTATGTAATATTGATACATCGAAACAGGTGTGAATTGAACATGTGAATTGTTATAATTAAGCAATAAGGCCCGAGGGGGTGTGGTATATGGCCAATATACCACGGCTAAGGACTGTTCATAGACACAATGCAACGCCCTTAACCCCCGAGGTGCCTTATTGCTATTATAAACTGGTTATCAACGTAATTAGAGCAGCAACAATAACTGTTTTGTCATACCCGTGGTATACGGTCTGATATACCACGGCTGTCAGCCAATCAGCATTCAGGGCTCGAACCACCCAGTTTATAATTGTTGATTGACCACTCTGCATTAGAGCTTAACTGAAATGTGTTATCACAGTCATAGTTCACTTCATTAACCATTGTAACTTAGGCGCTGCATGGAGCTGATTATTATGAAGCAACAAATTCAGTCGTAAAAATTTATCCAAGTATTGAATGGGAGGCAATGAGGAATCATCACACCATGACCGGTCCAGTAACTAAACAGTTAAAAGAGTACTGGCTTGTTTTGCTGCTGTCAGTACTTGCTTCATTTCAAGTAGATGAATGATCATCAATAATATATTAAGACTTTTCAATAACTCCAGTTGATCAGACATATTGACCAGATGAAAGTGAAGGCAGGTAGAGAGATGGCAATAGTTGATGTGTGTGTGTTCATCTGATGCCAGACCAGCTGTGTAGGTAGGAGGTCCATCCGGAGCCTCTTGCTCCTCCCACCTCCTCCTCACCTGAAGCAGAACAGAGACAGGTTCAGAGACACAGGTAGGACACTACAGTATTTACTATACACTATACCAGGGATCATGAACTAGATTCAGCCATGGGACATATACACTATACCAGGGATCATGAACTAGATTCAGCCATGGGACATATACACTATACCAGGGATCATGAACTAGATTCAGCCATGTGACATATACACTATACCAGGGATCATGAACTAGATTCAGCCATGGGACATATACACTATACCAGGGATCATGAACTAGATTCAGCCATGGGACATATACACTATACCAGGGATCATGAACTAGATTCAGCCATGGGACGATTTTTTCTTGAGCAGATGGTCAGGGGGGCCGAAACATAATTACTAATAATTAGTTGACAGCAAATTAATCGCAAGAAGCCCAAACAGATATAATATTGGCCACTTTAGGAAACCTATTTTTTAAAGCTTAGAATCCAGATCACGTTCTGCGCATGTGTGATTTTACGCACACATTCATTTTTCTAACGTAGCTGCTGCTCACACTCCCCATCCCTTCACTCTTCTGAACCATGATGATATAGCCCATGTCTCATATTTCTGAACAGTTGAAATAAAAACACTGCAGCGATTTGAATAAACATTCCAAAACATATATTATAAAAGGCTACAACCTTCTCGGTCTGTCTGTTGCAACGGATATTGCAGTTGTTGCACAAGCAGGACTCAGTCCCTACACTTTGAAGAAAAAACGATTCGCGTTTTGTGTGATGTAGGCTAATCTTTATAGTTGCTGCCATATCGTAGTTCCTGAAAAAATAACACTACTTGACAGCCTCCTGCGCAGCTTAGGCAATGTTCGCAATGACGATGAAAAAATAACCAAAACAAAGGCGATCATTGCGGCAGCGGAGCACTCAGCACAGCAGCTACGTAGGCAGCGGAGTCGGAACTCAGCTATGTAAAATGCCCAGAAATATACATATTTTTTGCCTGGGCAAATTGGGATACAGAAACTCCTTATCCATAGCCACTCCGTATAATATTTGACTAAAACATAATAATTTAAAACCTTGCTTACATTTGTAAACGATCACATACACTGAGTGTACAAAACATTAGGAACACCTTCCTAATATTGAGTTGCACCAGCTTTTGTCCTCAGAACAGCTTCAATTTGTTGGAGCATGGCCACTACAAGGCGTCAAAAGCGTTCCACAGGGATGCTGGCCCATGTTGACTCCAATGCTTCCCAAGGTTGTGTCATGTTGGCTGGATGTCCTTTGGGTGGTGGACCATTCTGGATACACATAGGAAACTGTTGAGCATGGAAAAACCCAGCAGCGTTGCCGTTCTTGACACACTCAAACCAGTGGCCTGGCACTAACTACCATACCCCGTTCAAAGGCACTTAAATATTTTGTCTTTCCCATTCACCCTCTGAATGGCACACATACACAATCCATGTGTCAATTATCTCAAGGCTTAAACATCCTTATTTAACCTGTCTCTACACTGATTGAAGTGGATTTAACAGGTGACATCAATAAGAGATCATAGCTTTCTCCTGGTCAGTCTATGTCAATGTTTTGTATACTCTGTGTATAGCTCTCTATGCGTGGGAATACTTTGGAACAGATTTGGAACAAATCACTTAGAGCTAATTTGCTGGTGTTTTTACAGTAAAAAAATTGCTCCGAAAACTTAGTGGGGCAAATAAAATCAACCTCGGGCCCGGTTGATTCCAATGTTGACCTACATAAAATGTTGATTTCTCTGCAATTTCACTTAACTTACTACTCACACTGAGCGATCGATGGGTGTGTGTGTGTGTGTGTGAGAGAGAGAGTATGTGTGTGTATGTACAGCGTGTGTGTTGGTGTGTCTGTGTAAACAGTGTGTGTGTGTACACTACCGGTCAAAAGTTTTAGATTACCTACTCATTCAAGGGTTTTTCTTTATTTTTACCATTTTCTACATTGTAGAATAATAGTGAAGACATCAAAACTATGAAATGACACATATGGAATTATGTAGTAACCAAAACAAATCAAAATATATTTTATATTTGAGATTCTTCTAAATAGCCACCCTTTGCCTTGATGACAGCTTTGGCTAAGACTACATGATTCCATATGTGTTATTTCATAGTTTTGATGTCTTCACTATTATTCTACAATGTAGAAAATAGTAAAAATAAAGAAAAACCCTTGAATGAGTAGGTGTTCTAAAACTTTTGACCGGTAGTGTACCTACCCATTGCGATAGCACCCAGTTTATTCTTCTCCTCAGGGCTGAGTTGTAACATGGTGTGTATGACGGGGAGCAGAGCCTGTCTCTCGCTGCCTGACCGCAGGAAGATGAACTGCAGGAGGACATTCTTCAGATACTCCAGGTTGGCTACACTCTTCTCTCTCTCATGGTTACGCTCCAGACGACGCACCTCAGACTTCAACAGCTAGAGAAGAAAGAATATTGACACAAGTATGAATGCGTGAGCACTGTAAAAGAGAGAGCGAGAGAGAGTGTGTGTACATACGTTGACCTGTTCCATCAGAACAGCATTGGTAGCCTCGGTCTCATGCAGTAGACTGTTCATGTGTTCCATACTGCGTGTAGCTGTGGCCAACTTCTGATTTAACTCCTCTTTAGTTGGCTCCACCTGCCACACAAACGGCTCTGGAACCAATCCCACAAACAAATGTCCCTTTAGCAGACAGTTGTATTCAAAGACACAGTATCTCAAATATGTGTCTCTTGTGGGAATAAAACCAACAACTACAGTATGTAGCCATTGAAATCATGCATGGACACAAACACATACCCTGTTTGGGGTCTGGGGAGGTGAGTAGTTGCTCCAGTGAGGGTAGGGGTGTGTGTGTGGGGGACAGGGACTCTGTCTCAGTGGTCTCCATGCCCTCTCCCTCCTCTCTAGCCATGGACTGGAGGTCACTGAGGCCCAGGCCCAGCCCCCCCATCCCCCCGTGGTCCACGGTCCGGCGGTCCACCACTGGCTTACGACTGGTCTGGACTGGAGCTGGACCTGGAGAGAGACAGGGGGAGGGGACGGTGGAGAGGGAGCGTAAGACAACACATATCATCTAGTCGGGCAGAGTGCAACAATGTAATTCCCTACTTCACCATGAGAGGGTGCTGGTGTGAAATCCTGATGCGTAGAGGACTGGGGGATAAATTCAGAAAAGAGGATGATAAAAAGAACTGTGCTGAAAAAGAGCGGACTTCATATAGGTACAGTTGAAGTCGGAAGTTTACATACACTTAGGTTGGAGTCATTAAAACTCGTTTTTCAACCACTCCACAAATTTCTTGTTAAACTATAGTATTGGCATGTCGGTTAGGACATCTACTTTGTGCATGACACAAGTAATTTTTCCAACAATTGTTTACAGATTATTTCACTTATAATTCACTGTATCACAATTCCAGTGGGTCAGAAGTTTACATACACTAAGTTGACTGTGCCTTTAAACAGCTTGGAAAATTCCAGAAAATGTCATGGCTTTAGAAGCTTCTGATAGGCAAATTGACATCATTGGAGGTGTACCTGTGGATGTATTTCAAGGTCTACCTTCAAACTCAGTGCCTCTTTGCTTGACATCATGGGAAAATCAAAAGAAATCAGCCAAGACCTCATAAAAAAAATTGTAGACCTCCACAAGTCTGGTTCATCCTTGGGAGCAATTTTCAAACGCCTGAAGGTACCACGTTCATCTGTACAAACAATAGTACGCAAGTATAAACACCATGGGACCACGCAGCTGTCATACCGCTCAGGAAGGAGACGCGTTCTGTCTCCTAGAGATGAACGTACTTTGGTGCGAAAAGTGCAAATCAATCCCAGAACAACAGCAAATGACCTTGTGAAGATGCTGGAGGAAACAGGTACAAAAGTATCTATATCCACAGTAAAACGAGTCCTATATCGATATAACCTGAAAGGCCGCTCAGCAAGGAAGAAGCCACTGCTCCAAAACCGCTATAAAAAAGCCAGACTACGGTTTGCAACTGCACATGGGGACAAAGAACGTACTTTTTGGAGAAATGTCCTCTGGTCTGATGAAACAAAAATAGAACTGTTTTGCCATAATGACCATCGTTATGTTTGGAGGAAAAGGGGGAAGGCTTGAAAGCCAAAGAACACCATCCCAACCGTGAAGCACAGGGGTGGCAGCATCATGCTGTGGGGGTGCTTTGCTGCAGGAGGGACTGGTGCACTTCACAAAATAGATGGCATCATGAGGAAGGAAAATTCTGTGGATATATTGAAGCAACATTTTACATTTACATTTTAGTCATTTAGCAGACGCTCTTATCCAGAGCGACTTACAGTTAGTGAGTGCATACATTTTTCACACTGGCCCCCCGTGGGAAACGAACCCACAACCCTGGCGTTGCAAGCGCAATGCTCTACTAACTGAGCTACAGGAGGGACATCAGTCGGGAAGTTAAATCTTGGTCGCAAATTGGTCTTCCAAATGGACAATGACCCCAAACATACTTCCAAAGTTGTGCCAAAATGGCTTAAGGACAACAAAGTCAAGGTATTGGAGTGGCCATCACAAAGCCCTGACCTCAATCCTATAGAAAATCTGTGGGCAGAACTGAAAACGTGTGTGCAAGCAAGGAGGCCTACAAACCTGACTCAGTTACACCAGCTCTGTCAGGAGGAATGGGCCAAAATTCACCCAATTTATTGTGGGAAGCTTGTGGAAGGCTAAAATATTTAATTCTCTCTACTATTATTTTGACATTTCACATTCTTAAAATAAATTGGTGATCCTAACTGACCTAAGACAGGGAATTTTTACTAGGATTAAATGTCAGGAATTGTGAAAAACTAAGTTTAAATGTATTTGGCTAAGGTGTATGTAAACTTTCGACTTCAACTGTAGGTTTGTGTGTGTGAGAGAGAGAGACAGAGGTAGAGAAAGAGATAGGGCGGGTTCCGGTGGGCAGACGGTGTCTGATTGATGGACTGAGAGAGAGTGAGAGACGTGTGGGTAGAACCACCTGCAGCCCGCCCTGCCCTTCACACCCTAGAGAACACACACACAGTGATGGAGTCTCTCTGGAACCTCTTGGCCCTAATTTGCACTTGAAGTTAACATAATTTTCGCTTTAAGATTCAAATCAAATCTTCAACCGTTTAAAGTTCAGTGCAGATGAAGGAAGAGAGACAAGGATGTGATTATATGATGTAATTATATGATGTGATTATAGGAAGGGATCCAGCCTTGCTGTCTCCAGAAGTGCGACTGCGCCCAACTCTTGTGTTAGGGTGGCACTAACGACCAGGCTCTCCAGATGCCAGTGTGCTGGTGCTACCCAGAGGGGCGGGCAGAGCAGGGCTGGATGGGCTCTTTATAGCCTTCACACTAACACCTGGCCAGCCTGAGATGAAGGAAGTCTCCTCTCTCTCCCATCTTTAAACAGCTGTACTACGACACTAGACGAGTAAGATCAAAAGACAGAGAGAGAGATAGATGGAGTGTGTGTGTTTACTCGGAGTGGCTCCAGAGGGCAGCTGTGTGGGAGGTGATATATTAGCTCTATCAGCTCTGCTCTCTCATACTCAACTCACAACCCCTCTCTCTACCTTTCCCCTGGCCTCTATCCCCTTCTCACTCTCTGCTGCCTCTCTAACCCAACACTCACCCCCCTCCTCTCTTTTCCACTCTTATCCTCTCCAAAACCTCACTCTATTCTTTAACAGTCTCAACCCAATCATCAGCCTCTCCGGTCTTACTGGTCTGGTTCTGCAATGTGAATAGTTGGTTCTCCAGCCTGGTCGTCTGGTTCTGCAGGGTCTCTACTGTAGTTCTGTGTTCGTCCTGAAGGTGGCGGATCTGCTCCCGGAACCCTGAACGTTGGGAGTCGGCCTGGGAGGTAAGCTGACCCACCGTCTGGGCATGCTCTGTCCGCAGTGACATACTCTCCGCCTGGAGAGACAGGAGTCTGGAGGTGGGGGGGGGGGATAAAGAAGAAGGAGGGATGGGAAACGTTAACCCACTGAGCTAAAGTCTTGGCATGAGCTCTGGGAGCTAATACAAGACTTCATGCAAGGTTACTCCTCCTCCACACACCTCTCTCTGAGTTCAGCCTCTTTAGTGACGGTCTCCTGCAGTATCTTGTTGTGTCGTTCCAGCAGTGTGTCGTGTTCCATCTGGAGCTGTTGGAACTCTGCAGTGCTCACCGCCAGAGTCTGCTGACTGACCTGCAGCTTGGCTTTATACTGGTCCACCATGGACTCCATCTGGTCCCTGTGACACACACATTATTATCATATAACACACACATCAAATATGTCACCATATAACACACACACAGTATCTGTCCCTATACCTCTCCTGTTTGGTGGCGTGTCCGTCGCTCTGGGCTGAACTCTTGTTCTTCTGCTGTTTGAGGACATTGTGAACTCTGACCTTATAGCTGTCAAACTCAGTAGTGACAGATGACAGCTCAGCCTGGAAACAAAATACACACCACACATTGATTTAAGTTTTCATTAATTCAATGCTTAACAAACTGTTTGTCAGCACACATATTACGTGGTACCGGTATCTCTATTTTCACCCTGAAGTACAATTAGGTGTGTTTCTGCAGATCAGCAGCTATAAATATGACGGTGTATAGCAGGGGTAGGCAACTAGATTCAGCATCAGGACGGTTTTTGTCGGAGCAAATGGTCGCGGGGCTGGAACATATAGTGCCAAAGTGGAATTATGTTTTTCGAAATGTTTACAAATTAATAAAAAATGAAAAGCTGAAATGTCTTGAGTCAATAAGTATTCAAACACTTTGTTATGGCAAGCCTAAATAAGTTCAGGAGTAAAAATTTGCTTAACTCACAAAAAGTTGCATGGACTCACTCTGTGTGCAATAGTGTTTAACATGATTTTTGAATGACTACCTCATCTCTGTACCCAATATATATAATTAAGGACCCTCAATGTAAGGACCCTCAGTTGAGCAGTGAATTTCAAACACAGATTCAACCATAAAGACCAGAGGTTTTCCAATGCCTCGCAAAGAAAGGCACCTATTGGTAGATAAGTAAACATTTAAAAAGCAGACATCGAATATCCCTTTGACCATGGTGAAGTTATTAATTACACTTTGGATGGCTTATCAATACACCCAATCACTAGAAAGATACAGGCGTCCTTCCTAACTCAGTTGCCGGAGGAAGGAAACCGCTCAAGGATTTCACCATGAGGCCAATGGTGACTTTAAAACAGTTACAGAGTTTAATGGCTGTAATAGCAGAAAACTGAAGATGGCTCAACAACATTGTAGTTACTCCACAATACTAACCTAATTGACAGAGTGAAAAGAAGGATGCCTGTCCAGAATAAGAAATATTCCAAAATATGCATCCTGTTTGCAACAATGCACTAAAGTAATACTGCAAAAAATGTGGCAAAGCAATTCATTTTGTGTCCTGAATACAAAGTGTTATGTTTTGGGCAAATCCAATACAACACATTACTGAGTACCACTCTCCATATTTTCAAGCATAGTGGTGGCTGCATAATGTTATGGGTATGCTTTTAATAGTTAAGGATTGGGGAGTTTTTCAGGATAGAAAAATTAACGGAATGGAGCTAAGCACAGGCAAAATCCTAGAGGAAAACTGGGAGTTGAATTCACCTTTCAGCGGGACAATAACCTAAAACACAAGGCCAAATCTACACTGGAGTTGTTTACCAAGAAGACAGTGAATGTTCCTCAGTGGCCGAGTTACAGTTTTGACTTAAATCTACTTGAAAATGTATGGCAAAACCTGAAAATGGTTGTCTAGCAATGTGGAAAGCTCTTAGACTTACCCAGAAAGACTCACAGCTGTAATCGCTGGCAAAGGTTCTTCTACAAAGTATTGACTCATGGGTGTGAATACTTATGTAAATTAGATATTTCTGTATTTCATTTTCAATAAATTAGCAAAAATGTCTAAAAACATGTTTTCACTTTACCATTATGGGGTTTTGTGTGTAGATAGGTGAGATTTAAAGAATATATTTTATCCATTTTGAATTCAGGCACAACAAAATGTGGAATAAGTCAAGGGGTATAAATAATTTCTGAAGGCACTGTAATTATAATAATTTGTACACTGCAAATTGACCACAACTAAGCCCAAAAAGAGATTGTATTCGAAAATAACAATAATTTACCTTGATTACATTTGAGACACGATCACGTCTCTATTTTGTTTGTTTAGTAAAAAAAAATCTGCTGAATTCCTGGTGATTTGTCTTTTTTTTCCCGCAAACAAAACTTCCCCCCCAAAATGTATTTGGCCCGCCTGTTGCCAACCCCTGCTGTATAGTGTGTGTGTGTGTGTGTGTGTGTCAATGATTAGATATTGTAGTGAATAGTACAGTGTTAGTGTGTAGGTCCTGGAAGTAGGCAACCCAGCAGCACTTCCTCTACCGTGGAGCCAGACAGTAACGTTCATTATCACCCACTAGACCCCAGGGAAATAATACGATTTGGTTTCAACCATTTAGAAAAGCTGCACACTCAAACTCTACTGATGGGAAATCCATGAAGCCATTTATCCAGAGCGACTTACAGTTAGTGAGTGCATACATTATTTTTATATTTTTCATACTGGCCCCCCGTGGGAAACGAACCCACAACCCTGGCGTTGCAAACGCCATGCTCTACCAACGTCCCTGCCGGCCATTCCCTCCCCTACCCTGGACGACGCTGGGCCAATTGTGCGCCGCCCCATGGGTCTCCCGGTCACGGCCGGCTACGACAGAGCCTGGATTCGAACCAGGATCTCTAGTGGCACAGCTAGCACTGCGATGCAGTGCCTTAGACCACTGCGCCACTCGGGAGATATGATGAAACTTGCTCTCATGAGGACCACCACAGGAATGGAAGACCCAGAGTTACCTCTGCTGCAGAGGATAAGTTCATTAGAGTTACCAGCCCCAAATAAATACTTCACAGAGTTCAAGTTACAGACACATCTCAACATCAACTGTTCAGAGGAGACTACGTGAATGAGGCCTTTATGGTCAAATTGCTGCAAGGAAACCACTACTAAAGGACACCAATAAGAAGAAGAGACTTGCTTGGGCCAAGAAACACGAGCAATGGACATTAGACCGGTGGAAATGTGAGATTTTTGGTTCCAACCGCTGTGTCTTTGTGAGACACGGTGTGGGTGAACGGATGATCTCCGAATGTGTATTTCCCACCGTAAAGCATGGAGGAGGAGGTGTTATGGTGTGGGGGTGCTTTGCTGGTGACACTGTCTGTGATTTATTTAGAATTCAAGGCACACTTAACCAGCATGGCTACCACAGCATTCTGCAGCGATACGCCATCCCATCTGGTTTGGGCTTAGTGGGACTATCATTTGTTTTTCAACAGGATAATGACCCAACACACCTCCAGGCTGTGTAAGGGCTATTTTACCAAGAAGGAGAGTGATGGAGTGCTGCATCAGATGACCTGGCCTCCACAATCCCCCGACCTCAACCAAATTGAGATGGTTTGGGATGAGTCGGACCGCAGAGTGAAGGAAAAGCAGCCAACAAGTGTTCAGCATATGTGGGAAGTCCTTCAAGACTGTTGGAAAAGCATTCCAGGTGAAGCTGGTTGAGAGAATGCCAAGAGTGTGCAAAGCTGTCATCAAGGCAAAGGGTGGCTATTTGAAGAATCTCAAATCTCCATTTTCTTTTGATGTGTTTAACACTTTTTTGGTTACTACATGATTCCATATGTGTACAATGTAGAAAATAGTAAAAATTATGAAAAACCCTTGAATGAGTAGGTGTTCTAAAACTTTTGACCGGTAGTGTACACAGCGTTGTACGAGATCTTCAGTTTCTTTGCCATTTCTCGAATGGAATAGCCTTCATTTCTCAGAACAAGAATAGACTGATGAGTTTCAGAAGAAAGTTATTTGTTTCTGACCATTTTGAGCCTGTAATCGAACCCACAATTGCTGATGCTCCAGATACTCAACTAGTCTCAAGAAGGTCAGTTTTATTGCTTATTTAAATCAGCACAACAGTTTTCAGCTGTGCTAACATAATTGCAAAAGGGTTTTCTAATGATCAATTAGCCTTTTAAAATGAAACATTTGGATTAGCAAACACAACGTGCCATTGGAACACAGAACTGATGGTTGCTGATAATGGGCCTCTGTACGCCTATGTAGATATTCCATTAAAAATCAGCCGTTTCCAGCTACAATAGCCATTTACAACATTAACAATGTCTACACTGTATTTCTGATCAATTTGATATTATTTTAATGGACAAAAAAATGACATTTCTAAGAGACCCCAAACTTTTGAACAGTAGTGTATACCTTGGCAGTGTTGGCCTCCTGCTGTAGCGTGGTCAGTCGGTGTTGCAGGGAGCTGCTTGTTCTCTGCTGTTGTTCCGTCAGAGTCCTCAGCTGCTCCTGCAGCCTGTGGCGCTCCCCAGACAGGTCACAACACTGGATCTTACTGTTCTCTAGCTGCTGTTGGTGGGTCTCCAGTTCTCCCTTCAGAGAGGCAAGGGTCATCATCTGAGAGGCTTCCTGCACAAACAAACACACATGCGCTTACAAACACACACTACAATGTGAGTGTTTCTAAGGCAACCCCAACTAGGCTCCTACAATGTATTAACGTAACCTAACACTGTCAACATTCATTATAATACAGTAGTGACGTCACACATAGGGGAAAGCAGTAAGGGGAACACAACAAAGTGGTTCCTGGGGTCTGACCTGTCGCTTTGCGTCCGCCAGGTCTTTCTTGGTTTTCACCAGCAGCTGTTTCATCTTGGAGCTCTTGTCCTCCCCCTGCTCCAGCTGGGACTTCAGACCCTCTGGAGGATCACACGTTTCAGGAATGAAATAATACAGAAATGCATTAAAGGGCATCATTATAATGAATGAAACCCATTATAGAAACGTAAAGGATTTTGTTCTACTGTAACCTGATTTAGTGCCGTTTTAGTAGGTTAGTTGTAAGAGAACTATGTCAGTGGGGCGAATGGTAGTGATTGGTGTGATAAATGTCCCATGTAGCTCAGTTGGTAGAGCATGGCCAAGCGCTAGGGTTGTGGGTTAAATTCCCACAGGGGACCAGTACGAAAAAAGTATTAAAATGTATGCGCTCTGGATAAGAGCGTCTGCTAAATGACTAAAATGTAAAAATGTATAAATGTCTGCGTACCAATCTTCTGGTTGAGTGTTTCTTCTTTCTGAGTGTGTGTGTGTATTTGTGTTTTCAGCTCCTCCACACACACATCTTTCTCTGACAGTTTGGTGTTGAGTTCTTTGACCAGGCGTTCATAGTCTGCCATCTCCATGTCCAACAACGAGCTCTGCTGGGCCTCCTGGAAGGACAAAACACACACATATTCACAATAGATTCACACTGCACCGCAACATACACACACTGAATCATGTTTCTAGACATCTTAGTATGAGTAATGGAAAAGCAGCTTCCAGTGCTTGAGGGGAAAACGTTACTTTGACATCCTTCTAGAGTCTGAGAGTTGTTTTTTAGGACTAGAGGCAACACGACACACAACTCCCAGTGAGGGTTAGAAGGAAGGGCTTCACCAGCTCTTTATTTGAGTGGCCATGCCGTGTGTGTGTGTATGTGTGTACCTTGCGTAGCTGCTCCAGCTCTTGTGTTGTCTGTTGAGACTGCTGCTTCTGTCTGCGGAGCTGAGCTGTCAACTCCTCTACCTCCTTCTGCAACGACGACAGTTCCTGGAGACACAAACAGAGTTAACATAGTACACGTACACGCACGCACGCACGCACGCACGCACGCACGCACGCACGCACGCACACACACACCTTTGTCTTCTGTTCCTTCAGTAGTCTCTCAGCCTGATGGTCTCTGTTCAGGGTGTTTGTCTGTCTGTGTAGCTCTGCTGTCTGTCCTTCCATCTGTCTCACCATGCTCCTCAGAGTCTCCATCCCAGTCATCAGGTCCTCTCTCTCCAACCACAGCTGCTCATGCTGGACACACAGAAAAACATACATTTAAGAAAACTTCACTCAAGAGTTCTTGACAATCACCAGTCCCCTTGGCCATATAATCAGCCAGCCAGGGATAGAGAATACACTTCAACATATCTAACATAAAGACATCCAGGGAAGTCTCAGACACTGTTCAGACACTATTTTGAGTTTCTCTGTCTGTACTTCCAGTCTGCAGTCCCAGGGGAGCTCTCAGCTCACACAGCCATGACCAGCATCTCCCTCAGTAGAGACAACGCTACAACACCAGATGGAACCAGACACTGGTTTATTTACACACACTCCATTACTTCACTAGAAAGACAATTAGGAGGAGATGATAATATCATAAGAAGTGGAATGGAAATAATTAACTAATGGATAGTTTATATTTGTACTGAGGGGGAAATTGTCAGTCTGGTTGAGCACGCTGGAAGACTGAGCATGGTTTGTGTGTGGGACTGTTGTGTGTGTGTGTGTAATGGGAATATTTGTGAGGCGCACGGCGATGCAGTAAGGAGCTCGAATTTTATTTTTATTTTTTTGTGCGTCACACCCTCTGTAATGAGCCTCCGGAATACATTCCCAGAGCAAGCATAAATTGGCTTTTACTCTCATCCCACACACACACATTAACTGATTGATGTGCACTAAACTAAAGACTTCAAGTCATTGGTGTATGTCATGGGAATATTTAAGATGAATAAAGTTAATATTCAGTTTAGAGTTAACACAATGTTTAGCATATTTATATATTTTCTCTTTCTGTAGTACACATGATTTCCAGTGTTCTGTTTGTAACACTTCGGTTGATGGTCACTAGATCTGATGCTGTATGTTATGGATTCAACTCATATCTGTTGATAGTGATTGACGCCAGACTGGAGGTATAAGGACCGAGGACATACTGATTATTACTGTATTCTGTGAAACACTGATTCTGTAGCAGCTGTTATAGTCACTGCCCTTTGTTTTGACTTCCTACAAGCCTCTCTGGCTGGTGTTTACAGTACACTTTGTGCTGTCTGATTAGTATATAACGGGCCTATCTCCAAGAAGCCAGTTAGACATTTTCTCTGCTTCTGTGCTGGAGGTGTCTTCCTGTTGCAACTTGTAATGAACCTGATTGATTTATGATTGAATGTATCTGCGACTGCTCTTCTCTTTTGCACCTGTAAATTCCTAGAACAGTGTATGTGATACCTGTTGTACAGCGGTGTTGAGTCGTTTGGTCAGCTCTGAGATCTGTTTCTCAGCTCCCTCAACCTTCTCTCTCTCCTTATCCAGCTGCTCTGTCTGCCTGTCGTAGTCCAGCTGCAAGTTCTGTAACACACAAATGAAATATTAAAACACATTCATTATTGAGTAGGCATTGTACAGTTCAATGCAGAATAACACATACTATATCAAGCTGCCTGTTCTACACAGTGACAGGGTATCCATCCATTCAGGTCTGGAACAAAACTCCCATTACACTGGGCAGAGTGATTTGATCTCTATTGGCTCACAAAGCCAATTCATAAAGACAACCGAATGAACCCATTTAATGTGGCTGTTTTGCATTACTAACTGAAACACAAACAGAAAGCTCCTTATTGAGTACCTTGTATCCCTCTGCTCCATGGATGATGTCTTTCATAGAGCAGGTTACTCTCTCTCTCTCAGCCTTCAACACCTCCCTTTCCTCCTTCAGAGACACAGCCTCTTTCCTGCTGGTGTCCAGCTCCTTCCTGGCTTTCACAGCCACAGCCTTGATCTTATTCATCCTCTCATCCTTCTCTTTTCTTTCCTTCTCCAGCAGGGCTGCGATGAAGGGATGGGGGGATGGAATCGAAAGAGGACACAGAGACATCATCACACACAGATCACTGGCAGAATCAGAATCCCTTAATGATTGGCACTTTGTATCTGTCATTCTTATATGAGCTTAATAATCACCTAGAAAGAAGAAAACAGGCATGACATTGTTAGTACTGCTCATCTGTGTTTACTGGTCATAGTATCACACACACACTTTCCTGTTCTGGACCTCTCCATTACAGTAGTAATTAGGAACGTACCGATTTTCTCAGTGAACTCACTGGCTGTGTTCTCCTCTGACACAGTGGAGGCTGTAGACTGTTGGGGGGAGAGAGGGAGGAAGAGAGAGACAGGGAAGTGGAGGGAGAGGAAAAGTAAATCTGTAGAACTAATGAAAGATACCTCAGCAGTCGCTGTAACAAACTTGAAGACACTGACAGAAGAAGCACTCACCTGTAGGACAGCAATCTCACTCTTCAGCTGAGATATGACTTTGTCCTTCTCTGTTAGCTGCTGTTGTAGCTCTCTCCTCTCCGCTTGTTCTTCCTCCTTCTGCTCCCTCTCTTTGTCTGCCAGTGTCTCTGTAGCCTTGCTGACCTGGGCCAGCAGTTCCTGGTTCTCTGTTCTCATCTTCTCATTGGCCACTTTCATCTCTCCCAGGTCTCTCTGTAGAGCTTCAGTATCCCCCACCAGCTCCCCCAGATTACACTTCAGGAGGCTCCTCTCCTTCTCAAGCTCCTCTATACGAGCCTGCAGCTCCTCCACCTCCTCCCCTGGGCTCCCCTGCACCTCCTCAGACCTCTCCTTCTGCACCTCCCCTAGGCTGCTCTTTAGCAGGCTCCTCTCCTTCTCCAGCTCCTCTATACGAGCCTGTAGCTCAGCCTCCTTTTCTCTTTGGCCTTGACTCTCCTCCACCTCCCTCTCCTCCCTCAGCCTCACCACCCCCATCTCTCTGTCCTGCAGTGCTGACAGTGTTCGGTCTCTCTCTGTGCTCACCACATTGAGTGTCTCCTCTAACTCCTGAACAGCACTCTCCTTCATCTGTAGCTGAGAGAGGATCTCCCCGTTCTGCCTGCTCAGATCCTCCATTGAAGCCTTTAGCTCGAGGGTTAACGCTGTCTGCTCCTCAAGAGAGGCCTTTAGCTCAGAGGCTAACACAGTCTTCTCCTCCAGAGAGGACTTTAATTCGAGAGCTAAATCTGTCTTCTCCTCCAAAGACATCTGCAGCTGCTCCTTCAGCCCCTTGGCTGCCTGTGTCTGCTCCAGGAAGCTCTCCAGCCTCTTCTCCAGGCCCTGGACCTTCTCCAGCAGGCTCGCTCTGTCTTCATTCAGCACTCTCACCTTCTCCACCAGACTCTCTCTCTCCTCAGTTAGCCCTCTGACTCTCTCCTGTAGCTCCTGGATCGCTGACGTCCCCTGTTCCTTCATAGCTTCATACTGTCTGACGAAGTCCCCGGTCCTCTGACCTAGCTCAGTCTCCAGGCCTCTCAGGATGTCTCTGGTGTGTTCGTACCCAGCCACCGCCTGGCTCCTCTCTTTGGCTAGAGACTCACATTCACCCACCGCCTGGGTATTCTCTCTAGCTAAGGTCTCACACTGGGCCCTCAGCTCCTGGACCTCCAGGATCAGTCTCTGCTGTTCATCCAGGGTCAAGCTCTGGTGGTCTGTGTCAGGGACAGGGCTGGACAAGCTCTGTCTGGGACTGGAGGGGCTAGCAGAGCTGGCAGGCAGGCTGTACGCTGGTTCTCTCTGTGGCCCGCTCTGCTGGAGCTGAGTGAGGGCTGGAACCTCCTGAAGGTCACACTTGGGGGTTGCCGGGCTCAGAGGGTCTCGGTAAGTGGTCATATTCAGGTCAGGGGTCGCACCTTCCTGTGTCATCAGCAACTCATCGATCTTAAACTCTAGCTCCTCCTTCTCTGTCTGAAACTCCTCCCTCACCCTATCAAGCTCCGCCTCCAGTTGAGTTTTCACATTGCCCAGGAAGGTCAGTTCATCTTGCAGCATGGTATTCTGGGATTGTAGGTCCTCCAAGGCGGATCGGAGCTGTCCAGTCTCCGTCTCTCCATCACTGGCATCAATCTGACTTAAACCAGACAGCTCCAACATCCTGGCTATTCCTGAGCTGCGGCCGCTAGGCTCCTCCTCTTCCTCCTGCACATCCTGCAGGAAGCTGTCATAACAAGAAGAGGAAGAAGATTGGATTAATGAAGCACTTTTTAAAGTGTCTCAAAGCGTTTTACTGTACAGTCTACATCTCATGTCATCCAACACCAATATCTTGTCCAACACCAATGTGTAGCAGTAAGACCCACCTGTCTTTGAGAGCGAGCTGCTCACTGAGTTCCTCTTGGAGGAATAGCAGTCTCTCTCTCTCCATCTCAAAGTCCTTCTCCAGAGCTCTCAGCTCCTCTTCATGTTGCATGCTATGCTGGGCCAACTCCTCTCGTAGGTTCTCTACTTCCTGCTGGGCCTAAAAGAAAAAGAAACACACATACAGTTTATTGCAACATTTAGACCAGAAGGTCTTTGTCAGCTGTCGGCTTACAACAGTGTGAGGGTATTTCTTTTGTGAAATTTTTCTTACTCTACTTTTGAACTAACCTCTGTCTGTGCCTTCTGGTGGTCCTCCTGCAGCGCTGCAGCCTCCTGGGCGCTTCGCTCCACGGCTGCAGCTAGCTCCGTCTGCAGACTCAGGATCTGCAACTCCAGGCTGTGACTAACAGCTTCTCCACTATCGTTTGTATCTTCCTTTTTGCTTTCCCTCTGCTTTTCTTTCTCTCTGTCACTCTCGTCTTTCTCTCTCAGAAAACTCTGAAAGAATTTGACTTCTTCTTTGTGTTTGGCCTGGGATACGTGCATGGCCTTCTCAAAAGTGGCCATCTTTTTCTGGTGGTCTTCCTTGGCCTGGTTCAACTCTCCCTGCAGGGTGGCCAGTTTCCTTACTGCGTCCTGGTCATATTCAACAGAAAACATAAAGTTAGAACTGGACTGGAACAAAAGGCTGAACACCCTGCAGCTATCCAGGACTAGGGTAAGTGACCACTGGTCTGGCCTTCACAGACCCATAACATGGTCTACTACAGTTCACCTGTTCCCGCTGCTTGATCTTCTCATTGTCCTTCCGCAGTAACACTGCACTCTGCTGGGTCTCAGCCCTCTCCAGCAGCAAGGCACTCATCCTCTCGGTCAGCTCCTGGTAGAACAGAATAGAATACCACAGAATAGAATAGAATGGAAAACACATTACTTACAAACAAACACTCAAAGCACTTCAACAGCAGCTTATTCATTTTCTCATGTAACAATTTAAGACAACAAACCTGTATGACGGAGTCGTCTGACTTGCCTGTTGGCTGAGATTTGAGGGTGTCAACCTCATTTTCCAAATCTGAAAAATATATTGGGAAATAAAAAGGACAACAATTGTTAAAAAGGAAATCCTACTACTGTATTGATATTATCAACCATCACAACATTGAATAGTAAACCAATGGTTATTTTTGCACTGTCTCCATGCACACTCACAGGACTCTATAGACACCCATGCACACTGACACTCCAACACACACATAACATGCACACACATTTATACTGACTCTACACACACACACAATCATAATTTACATTGCTGCTACTGTTTATCATATATCCTGATGCCTAGTCACCTTACCCCTATACATATCTACCTCTATTACTCCAGTCTCCCTGCACCTTGTAAATATGGTATTGGAACTGACCCTGTATGTAGCATCTTACTTTCTCCTGTTCTTCTTATTTCTATTTCTCGTGTGTTTTTGTTCTACCTTATGTTATCTTTAGTGAAACATTGATATTGATTATTACACTGTTGGGTTTGGCGCTTGCAAGAATGATATTTCACTGTACTTGTGCACGTCACACTAAAACTTGAATCTAAACAGTGTATGACAGGTGCATCATGTACCTGCACATTTGGACTTCATCTTCTGGATGGCAGCCATCTGCTTCTTGGCAAACTTGATGAGGTCATCCTTGGACAACGTGTCCAACTTCATAGAGGTAACAAACAGTAAGACAGAGGTAACAAACAGTAAGACAGAGGTAACAAACATTAAGACAGAGGTAACAAACAGTAAGACAGAGGTAACAAACAGTAAGACAGAGGTAACAAACAGTAAGACAGAGGTAACAAACAGTAAGACAGAGGTAACAAACATTAAGACAGAGGTAACAAACAGTAAGACAGAGGTAACAAACAGTAAGACAGAGGTAACAAACATTAAGACAGAGGTAACAAACAGTAAGACAGAGGTAACAAACAGTAAGACAGAGGTAACAAACAGTAAGACAGAGGTAACAAACAGTAAGACAGAGGTACCAGTGAGACATAGAAAGCATTATTTTAGGGTCTCAGTACTAGTCTTTTGATATTATAAAGTTCTCAAAAGTATGAGCACAAAGACCAATCAATTGATGTATACATCATTGATACAGAAAGTGTACATTACATTTCAAAATACTGTAAGACTGATAAAGGAAGCATGGGGTGGTGGTGGGTAGGATAGTATTTCTGAGAACTCGGGAGTGCTGCACCTTTGACTTTGCTGCACCTGAAGGTGGTGAGGCCACATACTCTGGGCCAGTGTCCTGCTGATGTGGAGACAAAACAATGACATAAAACAGGATATACCGGTATGACTCTCTCTCTCTCTCTCTCTCACACACACACACACACACACACACACACACACACACACACACACACACACACACACACACACACACACACATATATATATATATAGAGAGAAACATCATGTATAGCAAATTTCTTAAGCACCAATCTCACCTTTGCAGCCTTGGCAAACAGTACAAAAGCGATGAGTAGGTATCACGTAGCTAATCTCATCTAGATATCCATCTCTGTCTTTGGTGATACCGAAACATGTGAATACTTCTGGATGAGGAAACAGCTAGCTAGTTGTCCATAGCTACCATTATAGCTAGCAAACTAGACCAGTAACTTTGGCAAGGTTTATGACTTAACTATCAGTTCATGTTAGCAGTTGTGTAGTCAGTACTATTGCATATTATTTAAAATGGCGATTTAGTTGTCATTACTATTATGTTAGCTAGCTAGCTATACTAACGTTAGCTAAGCCTGCTACTAGCCAGTCAGACGTGCTAACAACAATCACTTTCATGTCGTTGGACCAAACTTACCTCCATCTTGATCGAAGCAATGTAACTAACCAATCGTTAACGAAATCGGTAGTCCGTGTAGCTGAATATCTGATATATGTTATTGAATTGTACGATTTGAAAACTAAAGCATTTCACTATTTTGATGATCTCCAACGCTAAGCTTCAATTCATTTCCGACTTCGTCAAACAACGTCCACACGTACGTCACAGCGAACATAATCGATAGTGCCTGCCAGACTTCAGACTGTCTAATAGTAAAAACGGCAGATAATTTTTTTGTTTCAAAGTAACATTATTTATACACCTCACTAGGAATTTCCAGGTGAACAAAAGAGAAGAGCAGTCGCAGATAAAGTCAATTATATATCAATCAGGTTCATGTCTATTAGCTTCTTCTTCTTCTTCTTCTTCTTCTTCTTACTGTGCGGGATGGAAACAAGATTACCAAAAATTGAACAAAATACCCACCAAAAAACTACCAAAATATAAAAAAAATACACAAAAAAATACTAAATCAAACAACTTTTCTGTTAAAAAATAAAACAGATCTGATCCCTACACAGGCTCAAGGGGAATCTGGGAGGGAGGGTCTTCCGGCGCCAGTACCCCTTGCAAGTCTTCAGATGTAAAATCCTTAAGTCCCAAAAACGTATCTGCCGCAGCCACAATAATGTCCACTTTCATAGACTTATTTGAGACTTGTGCCGTATAGTTTATAACTGTGGCAATGAACGCCACAATATCCACCTTTTTAACACACAGTGTATCTTTTGACTGGCAGCAAACATTTACTACAGGCTGGGGTTCTTCAATACTCTGTCCGTCTGCACACACTTGAAACGTCCAAATTCTTTACAATTCTTATACTGCAATGGTTTGGGCACAAATGCTCTTACAGCGTATCTCACATAACCAAGTTTCACATGCGTAGGTGTTTGCACTTTATCAAAAAACGACAGGACCGACAGACTTTCTTCTTTTTCCCCATTCACCCAGCGGGTCAGAAGCCGAGCACCAACCACACCAGGAATTTTCTTCAGGTATTCAACCTGAACATCCGTCGTCACCCTGAGATGACTCCTTTCATGGGTGCTCTATTCCGAAGTTCAAAAACACAAACCTTCTGTTGTTCGGATTCTTTTGAGGCTCACTGCAATCTTCCTCTGTTCTTCAGAAATACAATTAATCAAAAGAAGACCACTCCTGGTCACTCTGACACACTCCACTTTTCCCAGCACATACTTCACCATTTTAGACACCTCAAACGCAGTGGTGACTTTAGCATGTAAATCTTGGTGGGGCAAACTAAAATATATATTTTTAGATGCATGCCAGCAAAGCCACTACAAAACACAACACTAAACAATACATTAATTGCACTATAAAGGTGACAAACGGTGCCCACACACTGTTAGGGCCTACATAAAGCTGTCCCAACAGCAGAGCTTTCTTTCAGCACCATGTAGTGAATCCTTACCACTGCTACACCTGGCTATCAGGTGGATTGACAGCATGGCCAATGTATTCAACCTCTGGCCCATGATGTTGAATGTTTATCCTTTTAAAATTGGAAAAGAGACCGTTAAACCCAGACTTGGACCACACACCCACTCCACTGAATAGCAGGCTAGGGATTGCTTTGCAACACTTGCAGTTAGCCACTGATTCCTTCCAAACCACTCATTGCTGAATTTGCTATTTCGAACTTGTTGTGTAATGTTTATGTCCAATGGCTGATGAGCACCGATACGTTTTATCTATCAGTTCTCTTCATATGACAAGGATTGAAAAGGATTTTCCAGTAGATTGTCGACGTGATTCATGATGATGACTGCTTGTCTAGCTTGCTAGCTAAGATTTTGAAAGGATGATGTTGACATGATCAGTCCAATCAAAGCTACGGTAGATATAACGTGATTTGACGTCATTTTATCTGTGGCCAATGACCTTGAGCCTTCTTGGATGGGCACTTCTAATATAACTCTATGGCAGCACCCAAGGGGCTTGAATTTTCGAGCTCTCCCTGTAGATTTTGCGGTGAAATAGTGTCCCCATGAGTGACAGAACACTGAGCCAATCACAGCGCAACTAGAGAACATTACCAACCCCTATGCTCTGTATTTTCCGCTGGCTGCCCCATCACCACAGAAAGCACTCAGCTAGGCTGAAACACCTGCATTTTGGAGCTGCCGTACTCAAGAAAGCAAAAAAGAGACCATGTTCGTATGCAGCTTTATTAACTCAATTATTTTAGGTTTTACATTGTTTGCAAACTGATATGTGACACGTATTAATGGCAAAATTACAGTTGAAGTCAAAAGTTTACATACAGTGGGGAAAAAAAGTATTTAGTCAGCCACCAATTGTGCAAGTTCTCCCACTTAAAAAGATGAGAGAGGCCTGTAATTTTCATCATAGGTACACGTCAACTATGACAGACAAAATGAGGAAAAAAATCCAGAAAATCACATTGTAGGATTTTTAATGAATTTATTTGCAAATTATGGTGAAAAATAAGTATTTGGTCAATAACAAAAGTTTCTCAATACTTTGTTATATACCCTTTGTTGGCAATGACACAGGTCAAACGTTTTCTGTAAGTCTTCACAAGGTTTTCACACACTGTTGCTGGTATTTTGGCCCATTCCTCCATGCAGATCTCCTCTAGAGCAGTGACGTTTTGGGGCTGTCGCTGGGCAACACGGACTTTCAACTCCCTCCAAAGATTTTTTATGGGGTTGAGATCTGGAGACTGGCTAGGCCACTCCAGGACCTTGAAATGCTTCTTACGAAGCCACTCCTTCGTTGCCCGGGCGGTGTGTTTGGGATCATTGTCATGCTGAAAGACCCAGCCACGTTTCATCTTCAATGCCCTTGCTGATGGAAGGAGGTTTTCACTCAAAATCTCACGATACATGGCCCCATTCAATCTTTCCTTTACACGAATCAGTCGTCCTGGTCCCTTTGCAGAAAAACAGCCCCAAAGCATGATGTTTACACCCCCATGCTTCACAGTAGGTATGGTGTTCTTTGGATGCAACTCAGCATTCTTTGTCCTCCAAACACGACGAGTTGAGTTTTTACCAAAAAGTTATATTTTGGTTCCATCTGACCATATGACATTCTCCCAATCCTCTTCTGGATAATCCAAATGCACTTTAGCAAATTTCAGACGGGCCTGGACATGTCCTGGCTTAAGCAGGG